GCTAACAAATTTTAATATGCCTGCCAGGTTTGACCATACTGAGCACAAATTCTTCAGTGCTGAATATTCAGCACAAATTTATTCAGAACTAAATAGTTGGAAGATAAATTTTCATTTCTATCAGACAGCACCTAAGAATGATAAAAAATTATCCAGAAGATACCATAAACACACACACACATATACATATATGGTAATGATGACAATAAAGATCCCATCCATAAATAAGGCATAGATCTAATTGCCAGCAGGATACACTGAAATAGCATGACTTCATCATTATCAATTTTCTTGGTAAAGAGGGAAAAATAACTTACTATGACGATGCCGAACATCACGTGCTTTCAAGTACTTCTGCTCTAATGTAACTGACTCCAGTGCCTCTCTAAGCTCAGCAATTTTAACATTTATTGGGTCTAGATGTTCTGCAAGAAATCAAAGATAAACAGAGATATTATTGAAAAATCAGTCTCAAACACATTCCTGGGACTGAAGTTCCAATAAGATTTCATTCTTGAACAAAAATCCATTTTTTGATTTATTTCATCTATTGTCACAATTCAATAAGCAATTTATAGTACTTGTCACTATAGTCCCAAAAAGCAATTTATAGTCCAAGGTAAAAACTTTTGTTTTTTGTTTTTTTTTTGCCGTCAAGGCAAAAATTACTTTGGAATACCAGTTCTAAGATTGAAATAAAAGAACACAACGAAAACAAAATTGAAACAGAGTTTCACAAACCATCTTTGGCAATATTGTGCTCGTTGGGAATATGGCCAACATGTATGTTAAAAGAGACAGTCTCTGGTGTTGAGTAAGGATTGTGAAAACAAAATTTGTACATTCCGCTTCTTGGGGCCTTAAATTCAAACTTATCTCCAGATGTTCCCTTTGAAGTGTGCACCGTGTTACCCCCAGGAGATGTCACCTGCCAAAAAATAAAATAAAAAAAAATATACATTTTTCAATTAAATAAAGTCTATTTGAAAGAAAACGCACCTACGGACACAGCCTATGTAAAAAAAAACGAAAATCTAGTATACTATAACAAAAATCACGGATGTTTAAAAAGATATCTAGAAGAGAAACAACAGATACAGAATCCTTCTTAGTTCAACTACAGAAAGATAGTTCAGAGCCTGCAAATACTTTTCCTTTCCTCTCAAGACACAAACTCTAAGAAACACATCGGGAATCTTGCTTCCAAATATCACTCATATGTCTACTATTTAAACTCCCATCTAGCCAGATATAACATTTGCTACGCTCTTAGGCAACACCTAACCAACACCAAGCAATGAGAAAACAGAAGTCCATAATTCCCAAGTTACACCATAGTGAATAAGCATGTGATGAGCTGACTCTTCTGAGTTCTTACAACCAAGAACCTGACCCCTTCTGGTCAAATTATCCAATGTCAAAATCCTTCTATTTAAACAAGAACCTAACCCATTTGTTGGGGATAGAAAAACAATCTACACTTCCCAAGGAAAAATGGGCTGATATAAATAAACCCAACAGTGCAACATAATAAGATAAGAATCATTTGCAGCAGAAGACTAATAATTGTTATAACTAGGTAAATGGTATTTTCATATAGCACAACAAGTTGGCTCCTAATGACACTGTTATCTAGTTTACAAGGACTACACACATTCGGTAAGGCTAATCTCGCTATAGTTCAAAGTCGTTCACTCAATATCTAAGTTTTAAAACTTAAAAAAGGAATCACCTCAACTATATCTCTGCTGTTATAAAGGCCCTATCTTGCTTTATTGTTAAACAATAAAATTTAAATAATTTGCAACTTCCCAATTCAGTGGAACATGAGTTTGAATTTGAAGACACAATTGAAACTGAATTTTAACTTTATGAATTTATCACAGAACATTTGAAAGTTATAGCAATCTAGGTGGTTAGTTTTGCAAATTGCTCCAAACGGGTTCTCATCAGTTCCTACATACTTAAACTATTCCTAGTTCCTTAATGCTGCTACAAAGACTTCAAAAAGACAAACTTTGCTCAGTATTCACGTCAACGAGTAATTCCGATTTGGGAATTAAAACCAATAAACTCTGAAAATCAAACAATCTTCACAACTGGTTTGGACTTATAAGTATCAAGATTATAGCTTTAGTTACCCGTTAAGTTCCGAAAGGCAAAACCCTCAAATAATTCTAACAAATTTATATATTAAACAATTCAAAACCTCAATTAATCTACAAACAGATCTATTCCACACCCGCAAAACCCCCACAAATTAGTCCCCCATAAAAACCCTAAAATGCCAATTTGGCTCAAACCTCTATGCAATTGCGTTTTGGGAAAAGAGGAACTCACGATTAAATCGAGGCCGGGATGATCGCTGCCCCAGAAAATATCGTGATCGACCACCACGAAGTTCCCCGAAACGGTGTCGTCTTCGTAGAGCACGTACTCGTATATGCATTCGATGTCGTTTACGGTCACCGAAAGAGATGCGATTTTCCCGACGAAGCTCACAAGAAGAAGACCCATTAACATCAAAGCCTTTCCGCTCCACTCTTTCTGCCTCCCTTCCATTTTTCTTCAATTTTTGTTTTTTGTTTTTTGTTTTTGTTTTCGGGTCTGAGATTTTCAAACTCTAACCAAGCTTGAAGAAGAGGAAGCGCGGTGGCCTTTGTGTGAGTCTCAAACAATTCAATGGCGTTTCTGGTTTTGCTGTTGCCGTGAAAACGCAGACTGAAACGTGTCGTTTAACCATACGTCCTTGACACGTCGCTCAGGCCACGTAACCAGCCGAGTCAACTTAGTCGTATTGGGGGGCCATTGGGCCTAAGATTTTTGTGGGCTTGCCCTTAGGCTGTAACTTTTGGGCAGTTAACCACACAAGTTGTAGAAGCCCACCAGCACTTGTGTCTAGTATTTTTCGTGTTTTTTGGGGGTTAATTGGAATGCCCCCGGGGCAGAAAGATCTCTCCTCTCTCTCATGAGGATTGATGTTCAGTTATCAAGGAAGCATTTGAGAGGGGCATCACCTTCTTTGATACTTCATATATTTATGGCCAAAATCATGATAATGAAATCTTCGTTCGCAAGGTACTGTTCTTTCTTTTTTCAAGTTTGAATCCATGCTTCAAAATTTGATGAACATTTGCGCTAAGCTTCGGGGATTAATTCTTTAGTAGGGATATTTTGGTAGAAAAATTGTTCAATATATACTCTTTTTTTGGGGTGTGTTTCTCAGGCTTTGAAACAGCTTCCTAGAGAAAAAGTTCAGTTGGCTACAAAATTTGGTACTTTTATGTTGAATGGCGTTACAGTTGGGGTAAGAGCATGTTGTGAAGCTAGTCTTAAACGGCTGGCTGTCAGCTACATTTTGATCTGTACTATCAGCACCGTGTGGATGTTTCAGTGCCAATTGAGGATACTGTAAGCATGTTTCCCTTTGTCATTCTATCTTTATATCTTGATGGCTATATATAAATATATATATATATATATATATGTATTCTGTTTTGAATTTTATGTTTATGTGATGAAGATGGAGGAGCTTAAGAAGCTGGTAAATGAAGGAAAGATAAGATACATTGGTCTATCAGAAGCCAGTGTTGACACAATAAGTAGAGCTCATGCTGTTCATCCCATCACTGCTGTACAAATGGAGTATTCTCTGTGGAGTCGAGAAATCGAAAACGAAACAATTCCACTTTGCAGGTGTCTAATTTTTCACCTCTCAGTTCAACATTGTCAAATTCGTAAGCTTACATTGATACTTCTGTACTTTCAGGAAGCTTGGAATTGGGATCGTGTCATATAACCCGCTTGGTCGTGGGCTCTTTGGTGGGAAGGCAGTTGTGGAGAGCTTGCCTGCAGACTGTTTGTTGGTATGATAATCTTCATCTATAAACATATGCATAATTGGCTTTTTTTTAATGACATTGTTGAATATGCATAACATGAATGCCTTATTTGGTTAAAGCAATAGGGTTTTCTAAACTCACATTGGTGTTCTGTGTTCCAGTCTAAACATCCAAGGTTCAATGGGGAGAACTTGGAAAAGAACAAACTTTTCTACAGTAAACTTGCCACCCTTGCTGCAAAGCATGCATGCACTGCTCCACAATTAGCTCTGGCGTGGCTTCTCCACCATGAAAATGACATCATCCCCATCCCCAGTAGGCTTATCTTTTTCGCTTAAACAGAACGCCGTCTTTGCTAAGTGAAATCCAAATCTTAGACCTGTCTGGTGTGCTTCTGTTTTCTGTCAACTCCTGCCTGAACACAGTTTTGGACAGAGACATTTGTACTAACCAAATTATACTTATTGTCCAATTTGATTATATACAGGGACGACTAAAGTTAAGAATTGATGAAGTTAGGGGCGACCGAGAATTTGAATTTCTGTCAAAATATGCCTGGAATTATGCAAATCCCCCTCAAAGCAAATCCCAATTATGGAAACAGATGGTAACTGAAAATGTGAGCAGTTCTGTGTGATAAATAAGCAGTTCTGCTTGAACTCTCCTTGTATGTTCAGTTCATGAATATACATATATATTTTTTCCCAAGCTAAAGTTGGAACAAATTAACAAAATAAGTAACCCCAAATTTCTCACTAAAAATTCCGTAAGAAATTGCCACTTATGCATCTAGTTTTCAACACCAGATGTAAATTATCATCCAAATGGTTTGGTAGTACAGATTTCAAGCCTCTACATTTAAGTGTTGTGCATTTACTCGTATTTCATAAAATTTATACCATTCAAATGCTGGGTATGCACATCAACTACATTTCATGACCAATACTTTCAGTCGATTTTACAATGAATAAAACATGTCGTTCTGTCCTTTGATCCATACGACATGCTAAACTGGGCCAAATAGTGTCGCTGGATTTCTTTAAGTGAGTGTTTTAATCTTCACCGTTGGTTGGAACTTGAAACCAACGGTCAAGATGTGCAACGGAGAAACCGCGCCTTTGTTATAAACCTCTGGCTCTTATTTTATGCACCAAGCCAGAACCCGTAACAAACTCTGTTTTTTGGTCAATCCAGTAACCGTAGAGTTCTTTCTTCACCTTCTGAGAATCTAAAATCAAGTTTCTTACTGAGCTTTTTTCTAGGGTTTATAGTTTTCTTGGTAAGAATTATCATGGAAAACGAGAACATTTCTGATCAGAGAGAAGAAAGTGGAGTCCCCAATCAAGATTCTCAAAGTCTTGATCTTGAAGCTCTTCAAGCGACAGCAGAACTGAAAAAATCCACCATGGATGATAAGGGCAGCGCATCGATCTCGACTGAAGAAATTGTGGGTCGTGACCAGCGTACTGAGTTGGTGGTTGAGGAAGAAAAAAGTCCAAATATGAGTGGGGTTTTGCTGGGTAGGACTGAAGGGTTGAAAAGTGAAGAAGAAGATATTGTGAAAGCAAAGTTCTTGAATGGAAAAGAGAACAGTACTGAAGATGGGTCAGTGTGTGGAAAAGAGAACAGTACTGAAGATGGGGCAGTTGCTGATCAGCAAGGCCTCAATCCTCCTCTTCATTCTGAAATTGCTGAGCAGAAACACGCTGCTGGTTCAGAATTGAGGCATTCTTGTAGTTCTGAAGGAGATGGGAAGGAGATTGTGGGTTCAGATGAGATTGTGAAAGGAGAGGTTGTGGAATCAGTGTTCTTGAATGAAAAAATGGTGGGTTCGGATGAGAATCTGGGTTTGATAACTGGGTCAGTATCAGTGGGTGGACAAGAAAAGACTGAAAATGGGAAAGGGGTAGTTACTGATCAACAAGACCTCAATAATCTTGTTCCTGAAATTTCTGAGAAAGAGCAGATTGGTTCTGGTTCAGGGTCGAGTTTATCTGGTTCAGGAGGAGTCACAGATCAAAATTTTGAGTTTGGAAAGAGAGCAGATGACGTGACATTAGGAGAGGCTGATGAATCGAATCAAGAATGGAGGGATATCAAAGAGGCTATCATGAGAGCAGATCAGCTGGACCTAGAGTCTCTTGGCCTAAAGATTGAACGTCGGGTGCGAGCTTCGGTTGAGGACATGGTGAGATATCCCCAGATAAATTCAAAGACAATGAGTCTCTCTATAGGTGACTGGGAGAGAATTCTGGAAGCTGATCAAGTACCTATGCAGAGAGAACTTGGAGAGCTGGAAAAGAAAAACGTTGAGATTACATTCGAGAATTTGTCTCTCGAGGCACAGATAGATGGAGAGCAAAGAAAGATGCAGGCATTAAAGGTGCTTTCTGAGTATATGGAAGGTAAACTTGGTGTTATTAAGGAAGCAGAACTTGATAAGGGGAAGACCATTGCTGAACTTGAAGAAGAAACAAAAACTGAAGTTGAGAAGGAAAAGAATGAGATTCATGAATTGCAGGAACTAGTTAACGTGGAAGAATCAAAAGAGACTGAGTTGAAAGTGGAGATGCCATCAAAGGCCCTAGGGCTGCTGCATTGGCCTAAGCTGCTGATGTCTGCCGGTGTCGTAATAACTGCTATACTTTACACAGCATTGAAGATGAAGCGAAGGTAAAGGAGGAAAATATGACAAAACTGCTCAGCAGTCCTCTTGTATTGGGTAGCCATAGGCCATTGAGAGTACAAAAGTAGATACAGAGAGAATTGGCCGAGATTTGGTTGGTCATAGTTTGGATCATGTTTTAGTATCTGTTGTGTTTGGAATTGGTAAGCTCACTGTGTCTTTACCACCAAATTAGTGAGAAAGTGTAATAGATTCAACGTGAAGATTTGAAACAAATAAAAATCATGTCTTTCTTTTTAGGGAGTTTTGTACCTTTCATTAATACTTCATCTTTTGCATATATTTTATATATGTCAGCTACTTGTTTGTTTCTTCTTTAATTAATGGGGGATTTCGGACTTGGGATCTCTTCCGACTAATTGCTAGTAGGTATGTCTGCTACTTCTTCTAAGCAAACAAGTTTTATCTCTAAATGTCTGGTCATTGTGTGCTGGTTCTGTTTATATGCCTAAAAATGCTTTTGGTAGCTCAACTGTATGCCAATCTCCTTGTATGTTTAGGAGCTTTCAATTCAAACTGAAGTTATGACTGTTCTGTTAGTTTCTACCCATAGGAAGCCATAGCAGATGTTGACACTTGTAGAGCACAAAATTAACATGCAATATGAGGTTTATTAATTTAAACCTCAAGTATGGCTAAATGACAGTTTGTTCCCACATGATAGACGTTGTTCAACTTGTAATAAATCTAAAAACAGCTGTCTATTTGGAATTTTTTTTTCTTTCTTCTTGTATCATTTTTCACATGTTGTTATGAGAATGGATATTCTTAACATAAAGAATAGACAATTTGATTTCTCTAATTAATGCACTGCAAGTTGCTTCCAATAAGTCAAGAAAAACAAATAAATAAATAGAGTCAGTGTCTGGTGCCTTGTAGTTGGTGAGAAGTATTACTGAACACGTAAGCTAGTTTCTCTGGTTACATGTAAGCAAGTTTTTCATTGTAGAACTGTCTCCAGCTACACTCTGGGTTTGCTGAGAATGGAGGACAAGCCCCAGATTCAAATGCCATTAGTTAAACTGGGTAGTCAAGGATTGGAGGTAAGCTTGTTTTTCTCTATCATATTGATGTGTATAAAGTCAACTATATTATTCTGATCAGTTTAGAACTATCTGAAACAATTAAGAGCAGCATCTGTCACAGTTTATCAACATTCATTCCCATCATGCTGAGATTGCCAGGCTGATTTTCAGTCGTTTTCTAATCAGTTCACTGTAGCTATTTGATTTTCAGTTTCTTGGTGCTTTGATTATTTAAGTCTTGCATTTGTGGGTAACAGTAGAAACAAAAATTTTGTTTGACTTGGTGTTTGAGAAATAGAGAGTGAGTCTTCTCTGATTTTAGTGCCCTGAATCATACAACTGTTTGTACAACTGGATTGCACTCACTTAGAAAGAAAAAAACACATTACATAATCAAAGGCTAATTTCAGATTTAGCCAGTCCTTTGCAATAGTTTGGTATATACTTCATTGAAAATTGGCATTTAGTCCACGTGGGAAAATTATTAATTGGTTGTTACTTATAAAGAAACTCACTGTTCCTTTCTCCTCATGGGTCTTTTCTGCAATGTAGGTTTCTAGACTGGGTTTTGGATGTGGAGGACTATCTGGAATATACAGCGGTAACAAAGCTCCTCTCTTTGATGAAGCTGCGTGCTCAGTTATTGAGGAAGCATTCAACAGGGGTATCACTTTCTTTGATACTTCAGATCTTTATGGCCAAAATCATCATAATGAATTCTTGCTTGCAAAGGTACTGTTCTTACTTTTTTAAAATTTGAATGCAAGATGAGATTTGATGAACTCTTGCTTAAAGAGTAAAAGAAAAGCAATACAACATAAAGTTTGATAAATGCCATCTAAAAGTGGGAAAACTTGGGTAGAAAATCGTTAGAGAATTCCTTTACTCTTCTTGTATTTTCAGGTTTTGAAACAGCTTCCTCGAGAAAATGTTCAATTGGCTACAAAGTTTGGCATTGTCATGTCGGACAACTATCAATTTGGAGTGAGGGGGACCCCTGAATATGTCAGAGCATGCTGTGAAGCTAGTCTTAAGCGGCTGGACGTCAACTATATCGATCTGTACTATCAGCACCGTGTTGATGTTTCAGTGCCGATCGAGGACACTGTAAGCATTAAGAGACCTTTTCCCTTTATCATTCTTCTATCCAATGTCTCAATGAACATACAAGGTCAACAATATCTATATCTTTATATCTTGATGGCTACATATATTTTGAATTATCTTATGTGAGGAAGATTGGGGAGCTTAAGAAGCTGGTAAATGAAGGAAAGATAAGATACATTGGTCTATCAGAAGCTAGTGTTGACACAATAAGAAGAGCTCATGCTGTTCATCCAATCACTGCTGTACAAATGGAGTATTCTCTGTGGTGTCGTGAAATCGAAAACGAGATAATTCCACTTTGCAGGTTTGTTAATACTCTCACCTCTTAATTCTGCATTGTCAAATTTGCTTTAAAAAACTTGGATTTAATTGTATTGCAAAATCTGAGCGGAGGGGAGAATATTATTGATGTCACCAAGTTGAGACCTCTAAACTTTACAGGCAACTTGGAATTGGGATAGTATCATATAGCCCCCTCGGCCGAGGGTTTTTTGGTGGTAAGGCAGTGGTAGAGAGCTTGTCTGCAGAGAGTTTGCTGGTATAAAGCTTGTTTAATTTGTTGCATAGACTTATTTAATTTATTAGAGAAATCACCTTTTAAATTAAACTCACATTGCTGTGATCTTGTCCCAGTATACACACCCCAGGTTCAATGGGGAGAATTTGGAAAAGAACAAACTTCTCTATGGCAAACTTGCCAACCTTGCTGCAAAGCATGCATGCACGGTTCCTCAATTAGCTCTGGCATGGCTTCTCCATCAGGACAATTATATAGTCCCAATCCCTGGTATGTTTGACTCTTTCTCTTGATAATATAATGCTATGTCAATATTGTAGGTTTTTAAAAAATAAAGACTTTAATTAATTTTCTACTTTGAATATACAGGGACCACTCAGGTTAAGAACCTTGATATCAATATTAGATCATTGGATGTAATGCTTACAGAAGAGGATTTGAAAGAAATTTGTGATGCTGTTCCCATTGATGAAGTTTGTGGTGACAGAGAATTTGCACTTTTTGCCAAATATGTCTGGCACTATGCAAATACCCCAGCAAAGTAATCAAAACTACGGAATTTAACAGCAAAGCGCAAGCCTTCAGTAAATAACTTTTTATTTGTTAGTATGCTAACCATTCTGGTTTCCTTAGTTACACTTGCAAATTTTATCCCTGAATTGATGGTCAGTTGGTTATTGTTTTCTGGTTCTGTTTGTATGCCAATCTCCTTTCAAATTCAGACAAGGGTTTTGACATATCAAATTATCTCTAGTCATGCATTGATGAACATTTGAGCATGAAAACAGTACACAGTGACACAATTTAAGTCAAACTATCTGCAAGGGAGGATGTATCTATTAAACCAAAATTGTCTTGCTGAAAAGTGTGAGGCATAGATGCTTTCATAGTGAACTTTTGATGAGGCAAACATTTGAAGTGGAATGGGAAGTAAACATGCTTAGTTTGGTTTTTTTATAAAATATAAAACATTTAATATTAGTTTTAAGGTTAATAAAATAATGGATCTCCATATAGACAGTTAGTCTCACATGTATTATCTTTTAATGTTTTTCTCCTCAACAGCAAAGTACTGAGGGGTCAGTTGCTGACAGTAAACCGAATAAATAAGTAAAGTCAATGTCTGTCTACTGCAAAGTGGCCCCTTTTAGAAGTATTGAAGTTGGTGAGAAATAAACATGCCACCTGAAATTGCAAGCTAGTTCTTCATTGTAGAACCATCTCCAGCTACGCTCTGCTTTAGTTGGAAATGGAGGACACGTCCCAAACTCAGATCCCAAGAGTTCAACTGGGCAGCCAGGGATTGAAGGTGATGTTTTATTTTTTATTTCCTTCTCTCACATTGATCTGTATGAGGAGTCAACTACATTATGCTATCAACTTGGACCTATCTGAAACATTAAAGAACAGAATCTGTCACTGTAGTAATTTTTATTTCCGGTTTCAGTTCACTGTAGTAATTTGATTGAAAAACAGTTTAGGAATATGTGATGTGTTTAAGGTTTATGGATTCGATCAGAAAACTTTGAGAACAGTCTAATTTTCAATTTTTCATCTATTGGGTACAAAAACTGAGTTTCAGACTTTCAGCATCTTTGATGGGTTATGACAATCATCTACCACAGATGGGTACAGGATGATCACTTACTGATTGATTTATCTTCAAGCTCAAAAGACAAAAGGTCCAATCTTTTTAGTGTTTTTGACAAATAAGTCTTGCATTTGTGGGTAATTTAGACACAAATTTTTTGTTTGATTTGGTTTGGTATATACTTCATTGGAAATTGGTATCTAGCTCATGGGGTAATTACTTCTCAAGAACTTGCTATTCTTTTCTCTTCATGGATTTTCTTCTGGACTGTAGGTTTCTAGATTGGGTTTTGGATGTGGTGGATTATCAGGAATATACAACGCTCCTCTCTCCCATGAAGCTGGATGTTCAGTTATTAAGGAAGCATTTAGTAAGGGCATCACCTTCTTTGATACTTCAGATATTTATGGTGATAATCATGATAATGAAATCATGGTTGGAAAGGTACTTTTCTTTCTAGTTTTTGTCAAATTTGAATCAAGGCTTCTAATTTTGGATGAACACTTGAACTAAGCATCTTTGGTCATTCCTAAGTTGGCATTTCCATTGCAGTTCTCTGTTTCACTTTGTTCAGGGGTTGAGTGGCAATATAAAGAGGAAAAAGAAAAGCAATACCACATTATTTACCTTGTGTTTTCTTTGCAGATATGCAGCATGTTAAGTAACCCATCGTGGGATATCCATAATATCTTTGATAAGACATGTTTGTAAAAGTGGGAAGGTTTTGGTAGAAATTTCTTAAAGAATTCATTTAATCTTCTTTTATTTCCAGGCTTTGAAACAGCTTCCTAGAGAAAAGGTTAAATTAGCTACAAAATTTGGCATTATCAGTTCCGACGGTTTTCAATTTGGGGTGAATGGGACCCCAGAATATGTAAGAACATGCTGTGAAGCTAGTCTTAAGCGGCTGGATGTCAACTACATTGATCTGTACTATCAGCACCGTATTGATGTTTCAGTGCCAATTGAGGATACTGTAAGCTAAACATCCAGAGACTTTTTTCATTCCATTTATGATCCTGTCTATCTATCATTATGACTGTTCTGATTGGAATTATGTTTTGTGAGAAAGATGGGGGAGCTTAAGAAGCTGGTAAATGAAGGAAAGATAAGATACATTGGTCTATCAGAAGCAAGTGCAGACACAATAAGCAGAGCCCATGCTGTTCATCCCATCACTGCTGTACAAATGGAATATTCTCTGTGGACTCGTGAAATTGAAAACGAGATCATTCCCCTTTGCCGGTTTCTTATTTTTCACCTCTAAGTTTTGCAAAGTCAGATTCACAAGTTTAGTTGCCTAGGTGAAGATTGTTGATACCACTTTTACTTACAGGAAGCTTGGAATTGGGATAGTATCTTATAGCCCACTTGGACGTGGGTTCTTTGGTGGGAAGGCAGTTTTGGAGAGCTTGCCTGCAGATAGTTTGTTGGTATGTGACTTGAACAAATGATGATGAGTTCTTATTTTCATAATCTTCTTCTAAACCAGATTCATATTTTATTTTAGTGCCTTTTTCAAATTCACATTGCTGTTCTTGTCCCAGTCTATGCATCCAAGATTCAATGGGGAGAATTTGGAAAAGAATAAACTTCTCTACAACAAACTTGCCAACCTTGCTGCAAAGCATGCATGCACTGTTCCACAATTAGCTCTGGCATGGCTTCTCCATCAGGGCAGTCACATAATCCCAATCCCTGGTATGTTTGAGTACTCTTTCTCTGTAAAATAATGCTCTCTTTACCATGCTATGTAAAACTCAAATCTTCATATGTACAGAGAAACTGCAACTGTTAATTGAATGATACTTTTTTTCTTCTTCCACTTTGATTTACATACAGGGACCACTAAGGTTAAAAACCTTGATATCAATATTGGGTCATTGGATGTGAAGCTTACAGAAGAGGATTTGAAAGAAATTTGTGATGCTGTGCCCATTGATGAAGTTGGTGGGGAGCGAGAGTATGAAGTTTTCTCAAAATATGTCTGGAATTTTGCAAATACCCCATCAAAGTGATCAAATTTGTGGAAACAGAAAATAAATTCCAAAGCTTTAAAGTGCTTTTGTGTGATGAATTAGTAGTTTTCAAAAACTAAATGTCCTCGAGATGAAAAGCTGGTTCTGGAAATTGTGAGTCTAATCTAGAACATTCATGATTAACAATTTACATCCTTTTCTGATTTATCAAACGTTTGATATTTCAACTTCAATTGTATACAGCTAAGATACCTTGTCCTTGAAACAAACGGCGGGACCTCAAAATCTCTGACTATAACGTTGTGCTGTGTGAGGGGAGCCACGTCTCTCCTACCACCATGTAAGGACAAGACAGCCATGAATGCCCAGAAAGCCTTCCAAGCTATCAAACAAATGACATTGACAGAACAAGAAACCCTCTCCCTTTTTTTCCGTCTGCCATTACTGATTTAGCTTAAATCCTCAAAAAAAGTGAAGAGCTTGAACAAATGTGACCTCAGAAATCACCGGCTGCTGCATAGTGGTGTCTGCAGCTGCCACGTCTCTCACTCCACCATGTGTGGACAAGAAAACCCACGGGGCAAATTCTTACTGGGGAGGCAAATGAGTGACGTGGTGCCAAAATATTCCGGTCATGAGCTTCCCCCTCTAGGGCAATTACCCTATAAAACGCCACTCAAGGCATGCGAATTAAATAAACAAGATCTCCAGAACAACCAAACCTTAAAGTCTTTCTATATCTCTTCAAGTCTTTCATTGAAGCATAAATTACTACAATGGCTGCCTCAGCCTCCATGGAATCAATCCTAGCAAACTCAGTGGTTTAGCCACCTGGTTCCTGCTAAATATGCACCAACATCCCACAGGTACCCTCAACTGAGGGTACGTTCCATGGCAGAGGTAATTTATTATTAAGCATCTAGCTTGGTGCCTTAATTGTATTTGTCTTTTGGGTTATGTGCAGTTTTAGCTGTAGTAACTTAATTAATGATCCTAATTAACCATGATTAATTAATGTTTCATTTGCAGAATGGTCAGGAAGAGCAACCATCTACAACACCAGAGGCATCTAAAATTCCTCCACCACCTCCTACACCTACTCCTTCTCCTAAGCGTAGTCCTAAGGTTAGCACAAAGTTCTCCGACGTGTTTGCATTCAGTGGGCCAGCCCCAGAGAGGATCAACGGCAGGCTTGCAATGGTGGGGTTTGTTTCAGCTATGGCAGTGGAGCTATCCAAGGGGCAGGATGTGTTTGCTCAGATATCCGACGGTGGAGTGTCCGTGTTCCTTGCCACAAGCATTTTGCTATCGGTGGCATCAGTGATTCCTCTGTTCAAAGGGGTGAGCGTGGAGTCGAAATCAGATGGGATAATGACTTCAGATGCTGAGCTGTGGAATGGAAGGTTGGCCATGTTAGGCCTGGTAGCTTTGGCCTTCACTGAGTTTGTGAAGGGAGGAACCCTAGTGTAGGTCTTAATCATTGTTGTTGAAGTTTTCCACATGTAATTATTCTGTACGAATCTTTATAAGAATATCACATTTTTCATACTCCACGATCTTCATAATATGCGTACCCTTAATATCATGAAGAGATAATACTTAATTAGTCTCTCTCCTCAAGTATCAAACATTGTGGGCCGCCATGGGCTGTAGCCCAGGAAGGTTTTGGGAAGAAAAAATAAATTTAAACCATATAGCTCAGTATTTTAATCCAAAAATAAATAATAAAAAATATACAATTTCATACATTATCAACACCAATATGCATAGTGAAAGGTCTATTTGTTGTCAAAGATTGTCCCAACATCAATTTTAATCATTTTTTCATTAATTTGTCTCCAAAATAGAAGCATTTTTCTAAATGAAATTCACCATTTTGTGAATAATATGGCTCTAATTCCTTTTTTTTTCCTTATGTTTACAAGAGTGCTGCTATTTCAACCCATCTATCATATTTTCCACCCACCTTATCTTCAAAATTTTAAAAACAAATTTACCCCTGCATAAAATGACTTTTAAGGACTTATGGAAAATTATTAAAAAACAAAACAATTGCCTCAAACTTAAAATTAAAAAAAGTTAAAAAAATCCAAAGCACAAATATATCAAACGTCAAATCCAAAGCACCCCTCAATCTCTCCCTCCTATTTTATCTCCCAAAAGTTTTGAGCCAGAACGATGGATTCTTCGTCAAAAACTTGAGTCGTCATGTACTCCTCCCACTTGTAGGAGGAGGCCAGCAAATCCCAATGATGAACATGGCAAAAGTCTTCTCCTCCCATGGAGCAAATCCCAATGTAATCAGATGCTCATGTTGAAAATATTGTTCTATTAGTTTTGTTTTGGTCGTCAAATCTCTCCCATTAGAGAAAAAAATTGCTCTTTTCAACCATTAGATTAAATTTAAATGACTCACAAGTTAACAAAAAAGAGAATTTGCTTGAATTAAGATTTTAAGAATAATGGTGAGTGAAAAGATAGGATTGTGCTTTTTCAAATTTACATGGTGAGTGGGAAGATAAGGTGGGCAGGAAAATAGGATAGGTTGGTAGAAATAATAGTACTCGTTTACAATTAGCATGGTTTATATGATTTAATGTATACATTTATTTAAAAAAAAACTATAAAAACGGTAAGTACCAAAAAAATAATTATTTTAAAAAAAGCTTCCACCAAAAAATAATTATTAAACTAATAATAAAATTTAATTAACCCACCTGTCAAAAAATTCTTGATTCCGCACATCAATAGAAAGAAAAACAAACACATGTTGCTTGATGACTATGTTAAAATAGGGATCTTCCATGTGAGTTTGATTACTCCAAACCCAACCTTATACGTATACACCTAGAAAAGAAATATATCCGAAAGAAGGGCATCCAAGGAGTAGGTGTGGTGTGGTGTGATATTGGTCTACGTGTCTTTATTGGCATTGTTTTTGAAAGGATTAAAAGCAACCAAAAGTAATATGGGTTGGCAAAATAAGAAAAAAATAACTTCAAAGAATTTCTGGATCATAAAAAAAAAATTCTGAAAAATCACTTTGGATGCCTTTTAGGCTAATATATCCTACCCCGCAGTGAAATTAACATGAATTTATTGGGGCCAATTACGAAATGTCACTCAATTTTCCAATTACGAAATATCACACTAGCTTTGTCCTATAAGAATCCGTGAATACAGCTAAGATTCTGTGTGGTGCATATGCAAGTGCTAAGCTACAATACAAAGTGAAAACCTTGAACAAATGGGACCTCAGAAATCAGTGACTGAGACGTTGTGCTGTGTTTGGGGAGCCACGTCCCTCGTACCACCGTGTATGGACAAACAACAAAAAATGTCCAGAAGGCTCTCCAAGCTATCGAACAAATGCAACTGACTGTGAGAGAGCCAGAGCACGTATATGTAATCATCTGTATTTTTTCTTTCTCATGAAAATAAAGCAAAAGATTCAATGACAGGGAAGGGCAAGTTTGTCTGCTATTACGAAAGTACTCGTGGCCCCGTTAGACATCGGCCGTCCTGCTCAAAGGATCAAAAAAGTGAAGACCCCGAACAAATTAATGTCACCACTGACTAGCGAGCGCATATGTATGTGCTGCAGCCACGTCCGTTATAACGAGAGAAACACAACCACGTCTCATTTCAATGAGAGAAACTTACATGTAACGGTGTATGTTTTTTTGAGTATGTCGACTCTTCTCATAACAACGTGTGATGAATTATGGAAGAAGAGAGAGAGGCCGAAAGAGATATTACTAAACTATATTCCATTCAGTCATTCGCGGACAAACAATCCACATGGCCCAGTATTAGTGGGAAAGCAAATAAGAGACGTGGTGCCAAATTATACACCGCTCAAAGAACTTCCCCCAATAGCTAGGGCCATTACACTGCTATACAAAGCCACTCAAGGCATACAAATTTAATAGACAAGTTCAATAACAAGCAAGGCCTTGAAATCTTTTATCTCCTCTCTGTTTGTTTAAGAAGCATATATACAATTTACAAATACATACGATGGCTGCATCAGCTTCCATGCAATCAATATTCGTAGCTAATAACTCGGTGGCTCATGGAGCGGGGAAGAACAAATCAGTTCGAGTCAACCACCTTATTTCCGTGCCTGCTCTGCATATGTACTCCCACATGAGGGTACGATCGATGGTGGCCAAGGTAATTAATTATAACAAGTCTCTCTAGCTTTGTTATATTACGTGCTTTTCTTTTGATTTATGTGCATCTTCATCAGACTTCATCTACAGGGCATACTAATTGAACTATGTCTGATTATCTTTCATTTGTAGGATGGTCAGAAGGAGCAACTGTCTACAGTAACAAATGCATCAAAAAGCCCACCGATTCTTGCACCTCTTCCTTCCAAGGTATAGTCACATGTTATGTTGTCTGGCTATTAATTAACCGTGTTAATAAACATCACTCAAATTTGAAACTTAACAAAATAACATGTTAGATATTAGGGAGAAAGCATGAAACTCTCACAGGCAATCAGGAACCAATTTCTATATAACTAGTGTACAACCAAGTTCATGAATATGGTGACATAGATTGTTTTATTTATGGCAGGCTAGCACAAAATTTGCAGACTTGCTCGCACTCAGTGGGCCAGCGCCGGAGAGAATCAACGCAGGCTTGCAATGGTGGGGTTTGTTTCAGCTCTGGCAAATTAATGTTATTGATGAAAACACAAGAAATGTGAAGAGAACTTATGGAGTGAAGCCAAACGCGAGCATGAATCGACCACAAGCCTCAATATCCACAGGAAGAACAGTTGAATATAAGGACTTGATCAAATGTCTTCCATCTTCTCGAACAAATATTTGAAACGTGGTGATACAAATATGTTGAACCTTGTAAAATTCATAATTAGTGTCAGTCTTAACATGAAAGAAGTCTTGGTTCCCCAAATGCATGGACCCTCTTCCATTAATGTAATGACTTGAAGTCAAGTTTATCGTCTTCGATCATAACTTGTTCTACAAGTAGTTTATTTCATGTTTACCACTCTGAAGTCATTTAGGCTGAAAAGTCTTGAACCAGATTAAAAGTCATTGATCATCATCACCACACACATTCTTGTCTGTGGAGCAGCGTCCATATGCATGGACCCACTTCCATTAATGTAATGACTTGAAGTCAAGTCTATCGTCTTTGATCATAACTTATTCTACAAGTAGTTTATTTCGTGTCTATCACTCTGAAGTCATTAAGGTTGAAAAGTCTTGAACCAGCTTATAAGTTGTTGAAAAATAATGCACATTTGGTGGAGACTTCTACAAGCTAGCAGAGAATTTTCTAGAATAATTTATGCAAAGTCGGTGGATGTATTCCCTAAACACTAGTCACTAACTTAATTGAAGCTACAATATGTGGCTGGAATTACAAGTTAATGTCGGTTTACTAGAATAACCGATTTTACTACTTGGTTTGCCCTCTATAAATAGGCATTAAGCTTTCTGTTTGTAATCAAGCTAGTGATAAGGGCCAATAAGCCAAAAATAGGAAGGAGGCCAATAAGCCTAAACACTAGACACTAAACACTTTCTAGTTGAAGAAGGCCAATAAAGCTTATTACTAAAAACATCCTCTGTTTTATGACAAACATTCTTATCATGCTAATGTGGGACCAAACATCCTCTGTCTTTGGTTTCTGATGGTCTCCTATTTTGTTAGGAGGGTATCCTTGCTGGGGCGTAGAGGTAGAGCTACCAGTTGATATTTCTCCTTTAGTAAAGCTTATTTCCCCTGTTGTGGCAGTAGAGCTATCCAAGGGCGAGGATGTGTTTTCTCAGATATCCAACAGTGGAGTCTCGTTGTTCGTTGGCACTAGTATTTTGCTAACAGTGGCATCTTTGATACCTCTGTTCAAAGGAGTGAGCGTGGAGTCAAAATCAGATGGGATAATGACGTCAGATGCTGAGTTGTTGAATGGAAGGTTGGCCATGTTAGGTCTGGTAGCTTTAGTCTTCACTGAGTATGTGACTGGAGGGACACTTGTGTAATTAAGGTCTTAATCCTTTGGGGTGATTAGCTAAGTCTTTCACATGTATACATATATAACACTTTTCAAATTTTGATACTTCTATCAAGAATTAAACATGTTGCCACAAAACAAATACAAAGAAAAGGATGATGATGGGTCATCAGATGGAGAAAAACTTCAAGAATATTAGTATAAGCCTAAAGATAATGCTTAGTTTTACAATTAGGAAATGTCATACTAGCTTTGATCTCAACAACTTGTTACATTGTAAAAATGCCAATTTCTTCTCCTCCAAAACTCTTTTTATAAATAATACCATCATACGGGGCATATATGTAAGCATTCATGCAAATAGGAATGATTAATGGTTCATTTGGTTGATTATTCCAAATCTTGGGAGCCCTGTGCCATCGTCTAGCCTACACAGCTTGATTATAAGGTTAAATTATTTGTTTACTATAATTCATGTATGTCAAGATTTTGAATAAGCCGGACATGAAGAATACAAAAAGATTCCAAATAACTCATTGAATGTATAGTAATTTCAAAATCATTCTAAATAAATGTAATACCTAGTTATTTCAAATAAATTTAATCTTTTGTTTTTTATTTTTTTTTAATTTTATTTTCAAAAATAGCTTTGTTATCATATCCAAATCATGTATTTCAAATACCTCCATCCAAATGGAGCTTAATAGCCACAAATTTGAACCTAAACATTAAGAATTCCCTTGATCATCATAAGAGGACTACTACAACTGATTTCTAACCCTATATCCATTTATTTGAACCTAAACATACAAGTGACTTCAAACCTAAACATTTATAGTAGGGGGCCCTCTGTCCCTATGGCCCCATGATAAAACAGATATGCATTAATAGCTAGAAATTAATCGCGCGATTGACTTTACATTTTCCTCATCATAAATATATAACGAATTCAATACTCCATAATTTATGTGAGTATTAGTAATATACACACAAAAAAGAGAGATGCAGCGTCAAATACACATATAGCAGAATATAGTGTCACAATAGCAAAAAATGCAGATAATAATTCCTTGTGTTGTGCATGCAATTGCCGAGCTACAATACGTACAAAGATGAAAAAGAGAAAACCTTGAACACATGGTGGGACTTCATAAATCTCTGAATGGGAGCCACTTCTTTGGTTGTGCATATGCAAGTGCCAAGCTACAACACAAAGTGAAAACCTTGAACAAATGGGACCTCAGAAATCAGTGACTGAGACGTTGTGCTGTGTTTGGGGAGCCACGTCCCTCGTACCACCATGTATGGACAAAAAATGTCCATAGGCTCTCCAAGCTATCGAACAAATGCAACTGACTCTGAGAGAGCCAGAGCACGTATATGTAATCATCTGTATTTTTTCTTTCTCATGAAAATAAAGCAAAAGATTCAATGACAGGGAAGGGCAAGTTTGCTATTACGAAAGTACTCGTGGCCCCGTTAGACATCGGCCGTCCTGCTCAAAGGATCAAAAAAGTGAAGACCCAGAACAAATTAATGTCACCACTGACTAGCGCGCATATGTATGTGCTGCAGCCACGTCCGTTATAATGAGAGAAACACAACAACGTCCCGTTTCAATGAGAGAAACTTACATGTAACGGTGTATGTTTTTTTGAGTATGTCGACTCTTCTCATAACAACGTGTGATGAATTATGGAAGAAGAGAGAGAGGCCGAAAGAGATATTACTAAACTATATTCCATTCAGTCATTCGTGGACAAACAATCCACATGGCCCAGTATTAGTGGGAAAGCAAATAAGTGACGTGGTGCCAAATTATACACCGCTCAAAGAACTTCCCCCACTAGCTAGGGCCATTACACAGCTATACAAAGCCACTCAAGGCATACAAATTTAATAGACAAGATCAATAACGAGCAAGGCCTTGAAATCTTTTATCTCTACTCTCTGTTTGTTTACAATTTATAGTAAATTTGGCTTACACCCTTTAAATTCAATTTGCCATACCTAAAACCCTTTACTTTTTGTTCCTATAAATAATACCCAATTTGTATAAGTAAAAACTCCTGACTAGGATCTAACTCAGCAAGATACCTAATTAAGCATAAAATCTGATTTATTGTACTTTTTAGATTCCAAAAATACCCCCAACTAAGCCATTATTGCATTTTGTATATTAATGTAGGAATCAATATGGAAACAGTTTTTAATTGGATTGTATATAATGACAGATGTTGAATTTGGAAATATCTCCAAATGGTTGTAATAGATGTAGGAATTAATTTTGGAACATTTTAAAAAAAAAATAACAATAAATTCAAATTTGGGTAATTGGTTTGTTTAATAAAATGTTTATGTTATTTTCTTTTTATGAATTATACATGACTAATAATCCACT